CCTAGCCCGCTGCCAACAGGGCCCTGGGCTAGGACTCGGTGGAGAGGGAGGGCCCGGATTTTCCCCCTTCTTACATACCCCTGCATATTTTCTACCTGCATATGGACTTGGGCTACGGGGCGTATTACCCTGAGTAGAAGGGGCTTGTATATGGACTAGGGATGTTCAATATCAGTTCATTGAATAGCCGATTAACCTCATGAAGCCCGCTGCCAACAGGGCCCTGGGCTAGGACTCGGTGGAGAGGGAGGGCCCGGATTTTCCCCCTTCTTACATACCCCTGCATATTTTCTACCTGCATATGGACTTGGGCTACGGGGCGTATTACCCTGAGTAGAAGGGGCTTGTATATGGACTAGGGATGTTCAATATCAGTTCATTGAATAGCCGATTAACCTCATGAATTCTTATTGGTTACTTGACTATTCTGTAGACCCCAGGGGTGGGGCCTCCTGCCACGCCGTGCTGCTACCTCTGAATCAGAGGCAGCAGCGTGGGGTGCCAGGCGGGAGCTGGTCCACGAGGGGAGCCAGTTTAAAAACCAGCTCCCTTTGCAGCCTGGCTGCCTTTCGCCCTGCGCTGTATCAGAGGCAGCAGTGCAGGGTGGCAGCAGCCCCTGTCCAGGGGAGGTCTGAGCTCCCAGACCTGGCATGAGCTGGGACTGAAGCAGGCGACCTGCCTGCTTATCTTTTCATACACTTTAAATGCAGAGCCGCCGCAGGGGTAGGTCCTGGACCCGACGCCAGCCAGGACTGAGCTGGGCTGCCGGCCAGCCTGCGAGAAAATGTCCTGGTGGCGGGGAGGGGAGAAATGCGTGTGGTCTAGAGCATTAGCCTATAAGCTTTTGCTGATCAGTTAATTGAATACACTATTACATCCCTAATATGGACTTAGGCTGCTGGGCTGTATTACTCTGAGCAGAAGGGACTCGCATATGGATTTGGGCCACTGGGCCGTATTACCTTGAGTAGAAGGGACTCACATATTGACTTGACCACTGGGCCGTATTACCTTGAGTAGAAGGAACTCGCATATGGATTTGGGCCACGGGGCCGTATTACCCTGAGTAGAAGGGACTCACATATGGACTTGACCACTGGGCCGTATTACCCTGAGTAGAAGGGATTCACATATGGACTTGACCACAGGGCCGTATTACCTTGAGCAGAAGGGACTCGCATATGGACTTGGGCCCGTGGGCCATAATACCCAGCGTAGAGGATCTCTATGGCCTAGGGCCATCGGGCCAGAAGACCCTGACCAGAGGGTTGTGGGTACAGACTGAGGCTGATGAGCTGTCTGGTAAACTGGGTGATGCTTAAGTCACCAGTGGAAGGAGACGAGGCTCAGGGGGCCTCTCGACAGGGTGGAGATAGAGGAAGGAACTGGTGGGTTAAGGGAGGAGTAGGGGCACTTGGTGAGCTGGGAGAGGGGGTGCAGAAAGCAGTGTGACACCAAACCGCCTTGGGAAGCAAACTCCCCCTCCTGGTTTAACAGAGAGCCAGCATTTTCCCAGCTACTTTATTGCCCGCAGCGGAGCGAGCCACATCAGCTGTGTGCTGGGGGCTCTTTTGGGCTGCCCAGTAGTCAAGCTGCCGTCGAGGGGGACAAACTTCCATGTACAGCCCTCCCCGCTATGCACAGGCTGTTCCCTTTACCACACCTCCCCCACACCTCAATTTCCCCTCCCCTCCCCCTTGATTGCAGAGCTATAGTCCCACCTTCCTCCCCGAGTGGCTGCTTGAACTGTCACTTGAGGACTTAGTGCCCAGAGGACGGAGCGTTGATCCGCTCCAGACCAGGGCCAGCGCCTGGCAAGGCGGGGGGACTGTATCAAGTAGGTCCCCGGCCAGTGTCTCTGCTAGGGTGAAATCCACACGGACCTGCCAAGCAACGTCCCAGTCTGTGTTCTCCCCCAGGCCTGGCGCCCCCGTGGGCGGGGCTCGGATGGTGAGGGGAACTGGGGTCACTCCAGGATTGGGTAGCTGGCATCCGTGGTCACCCCGCAGTTGTTGTCCTGCATGGACATGAGGATGTAGCCGTCGTTCCCCCAGTAGGTGGACCAGGAGTTCTTCACCAGCCAGTACAGCTCCCCCTGGAGCACGCCGTAGCCGACCGCCAGGACCGCGTGGTCCAAGTCGCTTGTCTTGTTACCTGGGGAGGGGAGTTTGGAATAAATGTCAGCAGAGGTCGCTGCACCATTAACAGGCACATTAGTTGTACCAGCAATGCCTGGCTTCTCAACCACCCATCACCCAGCACGGTGTGGCCGTGGATAAGTGGGGTCATCCCCACAATGACACTGAGACACCGGGTTTAAATAACGAGCCCAACATCACCTAGCAAATGAACAGCAGAGCTGAGACTGGAAACGGGGAGTCCTGGCTTCCCCTACCCGGCCCTGCTTCTAGTGCGTCTCTTGAGCCAGCGTGACCCTAGTCTTGGGACACAGCTGCCTGCGCCCTGCAGGTCTGATCTGAGCTGTGGCCCCAGGGCTCAGATGCTATTCTGCAGCCTGGTACTAAATTGGAAGCAGGCAGCAAACCAGCTGGGCTTTATTCCAGGTGCCCCTTTTAGATACTAAACCTGGGTTCCCTCCCCCACAGCTCAGCACCGCCCTGCCTTGGTGCAACATAATCCTCCTCCAGGCCGTGAGTTCCTCCGGTTTAGTCTTCTGACAAAGCCTTTGCTCCGTCCTCCCCCCCATCTTTCTGAGCTGGCTTGTGGGCCCTGAATCCACGCAGCTGGGGAAGGAGACGTCGCTGCCCCCTAGCTTCAGACCCCTGCAAAGCACTTGTCCAGCCACACGGCTCCGGAGAGCTGGAGGAATCCTCGTTTACCGGTGTCCCAGCATTGCTGGGTGTGACGTAGTGGGGGGTGCCTTGCTGGTTGCTATGCTGGGCAGTGGGTTGTGAGTGACCTCCACTGGCTGCTGGCTGTAGCATGGCCCAGCAGGGCAGGGGATGAGTCATTATGCAAGGGGGCTTCGAAACCTCAGACAGGTATCTCCCAGGGAGCAGAACAATGGGAAGAAGGGGAGTGGAGCCCTGGCTGGGGGCAGGGCTGGAAGGGAGTGAGTTTAGTTTCTGTCTGGGCGCATGGAGGAGACAGCCTAGGGAAAGGGGCTGGAATTTAGGGGCCCAGTCTCCCCCATCTCAAGGGGGGCTGAGGCATCCTAGGCCTGCCCTGTAACCAGATTACATCTGTGTTGTGCTGTATTCTGGAGAAGCAATAAACACCCTCTATTCTACTGGCTGGTGGAGTCTGTTCGTGCCATTACGGGGGTGCAGGAGATGGGAAAACCCCAATGCGTCGTTGTCACGTTACTAGAATTTGAGGGAAGCAGCCGGATCGTGGCTGCACCCATAGGTGGGGGTGCTGGCCCCAATAATGATATAGGGGCCATGTGGGGTATTGAATGGGAGCTTGTTGTTTTCTGATCCTGTGTACACTATTTATGTGAGTATATAATGTCTGTGTGTGTAGATCTGTAATCTGTGTGGAAGCTGAATATTTCTCTGAATGTGATTAAGCATGGCTATGGACAGGCTGAGTAGCAAAGCCCTGTGGAACAATGGCTCTCAATAGGCTATGGACACACACCTACAGAATGGGGTTTTGTCACCTGAGGGCAGCCAGCAGGGAACATAGAGATTGGCCTCTGACCAGGTGACTTGCTGCATACAAGAAGAGGCCAGGAAGGAGGTATAAAGAGGCCATGCGGTCGATGCCATTTTGTTCTCAGCTCAGCACTTCATCCCAGAGGCAGCACTGCAGGGATTGAAGAGCCCGGAAGACCTGTGAACCCATCCTGATCGTAGGATGTGCAATAAGACCTTTTAAACCAGCAGCTGCAACATCTCTGCTAGAGCCTGCATCGAGGACTGGGAGATTCGGTGCATGTAACGTACTGTACTTTAATAACCTTACTCTCAGGCTTTTCTTTCTTGTAATAATAAACCTTTAGATATAGATTCTAAAGGATTGGCCCAGCGTGATTTGTGGGTAAGATCCAGAGGGTAAATTGACCAGGGATCTGTGGCTGGTTTCTTGGAACCGGACAGAACTTGTTCGGGGTAGGTGGGATTGGATGCTAGGACCCCCCCACCTGTGTATAGACCCGGGGCCATCTGGGGCACGGATATTGCTGGGGTGTCGGAGGGGTTTTGCTCGGGAGGCTTCAGGCAGGCTGCTGAAGCGCTCTGTGAGACTGGTTTGTGGCCTGTTTGGAAAGGTCGCCAGTCAGGGGGACTGTAAGGAGCCCCGGATTTGAGCAATTCGCCCTGAGCGGACGCCCTCAGCTGTGCCCAGACACGGCCCGGTCCGTCACAGTCGTCACACTGGGTACCGGGTGGAGCCAACCCGAGCCATCCCGGGAGACGCTCGGCCGCGAACAGCCATACTCACCGCACTTGGGCTCGTAGTAGACGCCGCTGGAGTAGAAGGAGAAGGACCGGTGGGAGGCGTCGATGCTGATGGCCACCGGGCCGTTCTTGTAGATGGCGGCTTTCAGGGCCGTGACGTTCCCCGAGGTGACATTGACGTAGCCTTGCACCTTGGCCACCAGCTCAGACGTGTTGTAGTGGCACAAGCCGTTCTGCAAGGCAGAGCCCGGAGCTGGCACCGCGGCGCGCGGACACAGGGGACCGCAGCCGCTCTGCGTGCGCCAGCAAGGCCCACGCCCCCAGGAGCAGGGCGCCGCAGCTGGGCAGACACACGTGTGCTCGCCCACGGACGCCCCCAGGGTCAAAGGGAGCCAGAAGCATCTCTGGCAGTGGGCATGTCCAGTCTACAATGAATCTTTCTAGGACCCCGCTCAGCGATGTGCCCAGATTCCTTCCCCCTACACTCCCTGTAGGCAGAGGAGTCTTGCCCGCTCTTGAACAGGGAAACTGAGGCACAGAGAGAGGAACGTGACTCAGCAGACTGGGAGTTGAGCCCAGGTATTCCAAGTCCCTGGCTAGCGCATTACCGGGGCCATGCAGCTGTGACAGGGTCCAGCAAGGGCACGTTGTCAGCAGCCCCTGCCGCTTGCCCAGATGTTTCTTGTCACTGGCTCTAAGTGGGGTTGCTGGAGCAGCCCCATGGGATAGGGCCCCAAGCCCCTAGAGATCTCAGCCCCGCTGGAGGCAGAAGTCCCCCTTCATGGCAACCGCTTGGCAGGCTGCATGTCCTGCTTCTGGCTCACTGGCCCGGGGCGCGCACGCTGCGGAGGCTCTGCGGGGTCAGAGCTGCCGTGCCGAGAGATTTGCTCCACCAGCCCGTGCTGCAGCCGAGCCAGAGGGCACCGGGCTCACCTGGCCTTTGTACGGCCCGTAGGAATCGGAGGTGGCGATGCCACCGTGCTTCTTGATCCACTCGTACGCGCTCGCCTCCTCGCCGCCGTCGCAGCCGTAGTTCCCGAAGCCCCAGGAGCAGTCGACCAGGACTTGCTGGGACAGCGATGTCAGCACGCCGGTCTGGGGAGACAGGGCACCAGGACCTCAGCTGCAAAGCCGCAGCCAGGAGGCAGGCTCAGGAGCTAGCCACCTAGCGGGGCTGATCCCAGCTCCTCCACTTCCACCACCCGTCAGTCTTGAGCCCCGGCTGCGCCACCTGCGGCCACGCAGGGGGGAGTCGCTGCCCCAGCCTGGGTCGTCCTCATCCAGCGCAAAGGCTGTTCCCAGCCCTCCAGCAGCCGTAGCGACCCCCTCGATCCAGGGGCTGTCCGGCGGCCTTCGGGCAGGGCTCTGGTAGCTGCAGAGGGCTCCTGTGCTCACGAGCCGAGCGCCAGGGAGGATGCCGGATGGGCAGCCCGGAGGCGGCCGGGCTCTCACCTTGAGGAACAGGGCACCTTCCATCGTGCCGGTGACAGCAAAGGTCCAGCAGGAGCCGCACACAGCCTGGTCCTTCACTGGGGTCACGGCGCCTGGGGAGGGAGGGAGCCGGGGTCAGGGACTGAGCCCCCTTGGCAGCTGCCTCCAGGAGCACTGATCTTCCGGGCTCCCTCCCTGCCTGGCTCGCCCCCTCGCAGCCCAAGAGCTACCCGCATTCCAGTGCAGGAGACAGAAGTTGTAGGTGCATCCCTGGCTGCTGGTAGCCCCTGCTCCCCAGCTGGGCTGCCTGGCTGGGCTCCGGCCTGAGTTCTCTCTGGGTTGGGGTGGGAGGTACAGCGCTTGCACCCGGCCACGGGCGCTTTTCAGTGCCTCCCAGCAAGCTCTGTGGCAACGAAGGGGATGCCCAGGAAGGCCGCGCAGGCCGCGCAGGCGACAACCCGCAGACCTTCTGACTCTGTGCCAATTGCAGCAGCTGGTGCATAGCAGTGATCCTCTGCATCTCACCAGGACCTTCCCCACGGGGCGCGCCACGCGCCAACAAGCAGCCATGAATTGGGTCTCGTGAATTATCACCAGCTCACTTAACAGATGGGGAAACTGAGGCAGGGCCTCCGTGGCATGCCCATGGTCGCACGGGATGTCTGCGATAGTCAGGAGCAGGAGCCAGGCCTGAGGGAGCCACAAACCCCTCCCCCGCATAAGGATCTAGAATTGGCATTTAAGTCTCTTGTGTGTTAGTGGACCAGGTAGCTCCTCGCCAGGCTGAAAAATGCCCCACGGTCTGTTCAGCTCCTGGGGCTGCAGCTGGGGGGCAGCTCTACCTCAGTGTCCTTCGTTCCCCATTCACCTCTCCCTGGGGCATCAGTCTGGTGCCAGCCCCAGGCCTGCCTGCCCAGACAGCTCTGGATTACAGGGCTGCCAACAGCTGCAGCTGACGCCCACAGAAGCCCCCGGGGTTTTCCTTAGGAGGCTCTGATTTTTGGAAACCCAACACACAACCCATCAGGCGGGGCTGTCAACAGCATCGGGCACCTTCAGCTGCCCCGATGTCCACAGCAGCGGTGGGAGGGGGGGCGCTCAGCTCCCAGGACATACGGACCCATAAGGTCCCACGTTGGGCACCCAAAAACAGAACCATCCAAATGCTCAAGAATTCAGTGGTCAATGGGGCCCCGGTGCCAGCGCGGTGGGGAAAGGGAGGCAGGAGGAAACGCTCCTTTTGGATGGCACCTTCCCCCCCAGGGGCCCTGCAACTCACCATACAGCCGCCAGTCCAGGAACTCAGGCAGGATGAGGCCAGCGTACAGCTCCGTGGGGAAGGGCTGCCCGTTGTTGGGAGCCCCGCTCTTGAGCCGCCCCCGCAGCACGGCCATCTCCTCCGGGGTGCGGTCGGCCAGGTGGTTCAGCGCCAGCTTGTAGGGCAGGTTGGCCCGATTCTTGGAGTGGACGTACCTGGGCGGGGAGGGAGGCCATGAAGATGGAGAGCCGAGCTCTGGGTTTTGGGCACTGCTCTGCCCCCCTGGCACAGGGCGCTGCTGCCATGGGGCAGGGTACGTGGCACAGCCCTCCCGCCCTGGCGAAGGAATCCCCACACACCGCACGTCCCGGATTAGCCCCGGGAGTGCTGGTGCAGCCTGGGGCGGCAGCCAGCTTCGGGGGATGCACAGAGGCTGGGCCCGGGGAGGAGCCAGGGGAACGGGGCAATGCCAGCCTGAAAGATGAGCCAGCCCCAGGGAGCGCTGAGCGAGCTAGCGCCAGGGACAGGAAGTGGCACTTGCTGGCCTCCAGGGGTCTGTCTAGACTACGCGGCCCCGTCAACGGAGCCATGTAGATGAGTTTACTAGACACAGGAAAACGAAATGTTGATTTAAATAATCGCTGCTTCATTTACATCAAAATGGCCGCCGTGCTGTGCCGATCAGCTGTTTGGCGGCACAGCGGGGCAGTCTGGACGCCCCACGGTCGACAAGGGAAGCCTTTGTCGACTGCTCCGTTATGCCTCGTGAAATGAGGTTTTCCGGAGCGGTCGACAAAGGCTTCCCTTGTCGACCGTGGCGCATCCAGACTGCCCCGCTGTGCCACCAAACAGCTGATCGGCACGGCGCGCCAGCCATTTTGATGTAAATGAAGCAGCAATTATTTAAATCGCCACTTCGTTTCCCTTTTTCGAGTACACTAATTTACATGGCTCCATGTAGTTTAGACATACTCTTAGAGACTAACCAAAATCATGATCTTTCATGGGTAAAATCCACACTCCAATTCATCTGAAGAAGCAGGTTTTCAGAGCCGCGTAGTCTAGACAGATCCCAGGGTACCGCCCGTGCAGGACACTGTGCGGCATTAAAGTCTCTCGTGTTTTAGGCTCAGGGAGTCCCTCGCCAGGCTAAAAAAGGCCCCAGCTTGGGGGTCATTCGTTCCCCATTAATCCCTCCCTGGGCCAGCCTGCTCGGATCTAGCTAGAGGAGAGCCAGCTTGGTGATGTCCCCGCGAGCAGCCATCACGCCCCCCCTCCCCACCTGTAGACGTGCGGGAGAAGCCTTGGACGCTGTTCGCCAGCTGCTAGCTAGAGTCCTCTGCTAGGCCGGGGCTGGTGGGGCCGGTGGGCCTCATTCGGCCCCCATGAAGAGGCCACCTTCCGCCAAGTCTGAGGCCAGCTCAGGAAGGCTGGTTCCATAAGCAGCCATGGGAAAGTCTCTTCCTAGCTCCCCGGGGAACCCTCCGGACTCCCTCCGCTGGCAGGTTCTGTTCCCTTCAGCGCACGATGCTCCAGCTCCCTCCTGCACCGTGACCCGGAGCCCCGGGTGCCCCGTACCTCATGTTGTGCGTGAAGGTGTGCTTCCTGTGCTCCAGCTCCTGCTCGCTGCGGTACGTCTTCCCGAACCTCTTCCGGTAGTGGTGGAACACCTGGTGGGACCGGTCCTCCCGCTTCCCCACAAAGTCCTGCATGGGGTTGGCCAGGATCCAGCGCTCGGCTTCCCGCCCCGGGAGCTCCTCGCAGGACGTGGTTCCTAGGGCCCAAGCACAGGCAGCCGTCACCCCAGGGCTCCCCCCACCCGGTTTGGAGCAACCCTGCCCCTTCCCTGTCAGTGACTGCCCCAATGCCAGGCAGGGGGATACGCCAGAATGTATTCTCCCGCCACCCAGCTGCACGGGGTTGGGGTTTTGCTGCTGCTGCCTGGGACATTTCTCTTTGGACTTGCAGCTCAGCCCAGCTGCAGGCCCCCAAGGCTAGTGTCCCCTTCGCTGCTTAGGGCCCAGGGGAGGGACAATGCCCCCGCTGCCAGTGACGATTAGATTCTTCCCACCTCCGGGAGCTGGGACATCGCCTCCTCTCCCCTGCCGGTCCTGTCACCGCCCCGGGCTGGGACTCAGTGTCTCCCCCCGCTAGGGGTGCCAGATGGTTTAACCAAAAATACACGCCCTCCCCCACCCCCAAAAAAACCACTGGGGAAAAAATTCTGTTGAGAAAAAAAAAAGACCCAGAGAGTTATTAAGCATAAAAAAATAAAAAAAAAAAACCAGCATGGCCCCTTTAAGAAAGGCCTTTGAGGCTTTTTGGCCCCAGCAGTCCGCCGGCAGCCATCTGCCCTCTTGTCTTCCTGCTCCAGCCCAGACAACTCCCCTGCGGAACCCGTTAAGCACCCAGGATTTTCACCTCCTGTCTGGGAAAAAATAAGAAAGTACTGGACATTTTAGGTGTCCGGTATTTTCTGAATTTTTTTACCAGACAGGAGGTGAAAATACCGGACTGTCCGGGTCAATACAGGACACCTGGCAACCCTACCCCCCGCCCCTCCTGGGCCTGCCCGACCTCCCCTTGCGGGCACGTCCTTGGGGTGGTTCGATGCCAAGAGGAGGCAGTGGCATGGACACCTGGCACGGGATCTTGGCCCTTCCGGGTACCGAGGGCCACACGATGCCAGCAGGGGTCACCTAGCACCGGGCTGCCTTGTGGAGAGGCTCAGATCTGCTGCAAATCTCCTCCCCCCGAGCTGGTTTAGCTGCTGCGTCCCCAGCCAGCGGCCCCATTGGAGAGCGGGCCACGGTCCCATTTGGCGCTGATGTTTCGACAGCCTGTGGGGCGGAGCCGGAGCTGGAGAGGGGGCTGGTCCCCCTGCCTCTCCCCGGGGTGCCTCTGCCGTTGCTGCTTCTGGGCACGTCCTGCATTGACACCCGGATCACCCCTGGCAAAAGGGTGGAGGGCACCACCCGCCACCTCCCCTCTGCCCTGAGCACAGCGCCCCAGCCACCGCAGGTCTTCCAAGAGCAACCTGAAGGGAGCAAGACAGGTCCTGGCTGCGCTGCAGGCAGCCTGGGGTGGGCCAGATCCTCGCACTGGGCCTTGGCTCCAAATCCTCTGCTCAGACCCCTTCCTCCCCCCTTCGCCTGCCTTGTCTACGTCACCTTCAGGGCCGGGTCTCGGGGAGGCCGAGAAGGGGCCCCGCCTTACCGTTGGTGGGGAGGTTGAAGACGGACGCAGGGTAGCTGAGGGCGAAGCCGCTGTAGTCAATTTCGTACTTGTCGTAGTGGGAGCCCAGCAGGCTGTTGAAGCCCCGCATCTCGTAGCGGACGGGCGTCCAGCCGCAGCTGGCGTTGGTCACCCACAGGGTGTAGATGTTCTTCTTCTTGCCCCAGTCGGACACGTCCTGCCACACGGAGCAGTACTGGCCTCTGTAGTAAGGCAGGGGAGCCGGCGTGAGGCCCCGTCACTTTCCCGCGTCCTGCTGCTGAGACTGACCCTCGCTGTCCCGGGGCAGCGCTGCCCACGGCATCTCAGTCCTGCCCCCGGGCAGCTGGCGTTAGGCCGGCCCTGAGGAGAGGCTGCCCGGCTGTGGGGCTAGGCACCTGCTGAGCCCCAGCTCGTCTCCCTTGAAATACGTCTCCCTGCCTCACCCCTGGAGATGGCTCCTGGGCACAGGGACCGTCTCTTTTCCGTGTCCGTCCAGTGCCTAACCCACTGGGTGCCTGGCCCCTGCCTGGAGCTCCTAGGTCAGCTGCTGCCAGCCTGCAGAATCAATCATGTCTCTAGACCAGTGTTTCTCAACCAGCGGTACGAGTATCCTTAGGGGGACTCGAGAGAAGCCTGGGGGGGGGGTACGTCAACACAACTGAAATTTGGAGAAAACTGAATGTTGATGTTACGTTTCACAGCACTTTATTGTTTTTGTACTTTTGACACCCAAAAATGTCATTGCCCACCCGGCTACGATGAACTTGTGTAAACAAATGTGTTGCAACGATAGAAAAAAAATTGTGTATGTCTGAAAAGTGTAGGTACTGGGGGTACTTATAATTTTTTTTAAAAGGTACTTTATAAAAAAAAGGTTGAGAAACACTGTTCTAGCCTCCCCTCCCCCCCCAGCGCATGCCCTCCCCCAGCATCCTTCATTCCTGGAGCTGGACACGCTTCGGCCACCATCAGAAAAGTCCTGACTCCAGTGATCCCCTTGGCAATGCCCCTCCCCCCCTTCCAACCCAGCTGTCTCCCATTCTCATGGGCTCCACAGCCAGCCCCCACGTCCCCTCTGGCCGGCTGGCAGCGATTGTGTGTGGGTGGCCCTAGTCTGGAGTGCTGCAAAGGCTAGCAGGGGGCACCGTGTCAGCTGGTCTCCGTGCCACCGGGAAATCCCCACCGTTTGCAAACCAGGAGATCTCTTCCTGCCCACCCCAGGGTCTGAGACAAGCCGAGTCCTTTCCTTCTGGAGCGGCAGCCCAGGCACAAAGATCCTGTCCCGATGGCCCCTCAGGGCTGCAGGGGGGGGTCTTATGTTCTTATGTGGCGTAGGCGCGTGCCTTCCTGCAGCGCCCAGGGCACCCATCTGGGGCTCAGGAGCCCACTGTGCCGAGCGCTGCACCGGGCGCATCACAAGGCCATGCTCAAAAAACTCCCCGGGTGAAGTGTGAGCTCGTGTCTTCCCGGAGCCCCGTTCCCCAGGGCACTGCGCTATGCAAGCGGCCGCGTGGCAGTGCGGGCCCGCCGAACGCCCGGGCCTTTTAACCAGCCATTGCCAAATTGTCGCCCGGGCAAGTCAGATCCAGGCCACGTGAACACGACTCTGCCCAGAGCCCTCGGTGGGGCTCTCCTGGTAGCAGGCAGCTGAGTCGCCGCACGGCTCATCCAAGCAGCCCTGCCACCTCGTCAGAGGGCAGATGAGAGGTGACACATTTCCCCGGGCTGGGAAGGGAGAGATTTGGTGCCCCGTGCCCAGGCTCGCCTCCTTCCGCAGGGTCTGGCTGGCCAGGCAACCCCCTGCCCTAATTGGGGTTTTCCATTCTGACGCTGCTCACAAAACCACGCTGGACTCTGTGGTTTCTTGTGCTATTTTTGTGCTGCTTAGACACGGGGCTTCCCCAGCGGGCATGGGACTGGTCCGTCCAGCTCCTTCGCTCACCTCCTCGCAGCGGGGCATGGAGAGGAGCGAGCAGAGGGTAAAACATGCCCCCAGTCTCTACCTGGGATACTCCTGGGGACAGTCGGCTGGGGCTACAGCAGCCCCGTGGCTGCTCTCGAGTAGGGATGTAAAATCCCCTTTAATTGGTTTGCCACTTAAACATGATGTTTAACCGAGTTAAGGGCGGGCAGGGGGCTGCTCCAACCTGGCTGAGCTGGAGCGGGTCCCCCACCCCCGCAGGCAGGGGCTGCTCCAGCCCAGTCGGAGCAGCCCCTGCTTGCGAGGTGCCCAGGTTTGCCACAGGCAGGGTGAGGCTTGCTGGTTAACTGGTTATCCCCTCCCATCCCCACTCTGAACTGCTCCGAGTATTGGGACCGAGAAGGGGAGCGCTGTAGCCCCCTCCCTGCTGCACTGCCCAGGGGGATCTGGAAGGCTACACAGGACGTATGGATGAATCTTCCCAGGCCAGGCGAGGCCAGGAAGCCGGTGCCCTGCCCTGTGGACTCGAGCAAGGAGACAGTCTTGGCATTTCCCGACGGCGGCATGCAGGGCCTGGGCAGGCCGGTTGTCAGGAGCTGCACAGACTGGAGCTCAGAACCGGCTTAAAGGTTCTCCCAGCTCCACAGAACCCCTTTGGCTCCGGCCTGGCTAAGCTGAGGTCAACCTGGCCCAGGGCCTGACGTCCTGCGCTCCTTCCCCCTCCTGCCCAGGCCCCGGCGGGAGGGCC